TTCCTTCCTTCCTTTCCTTCCTTCCTTCCTTCCTTCCTTCCTTCCTTCCTTCCTTCCTTCCTTCCTTCCTTCCTTCCTTCCCCCCCCCTTGTCTCCCTCCCTCTTTGCTCCCTCCCTCCCTCTTTGTCTCTCTCTCTCCCTCCCTCCCATGCTGCTGGGTGTGGTAGCACACAGCTGCAATCATAGTACTCACTTGGGAAACTGAGGCAGGAGGATCACTTTGAGTTCAAGGACAGGCTGGGGTACTTAGTAAGTTTAAGGCCAGACTGAACTAAGTAGTGAGACTGTGTCTCAACAGAAATAACCCTTAGAAGTTCTTTGCAGAAGTTTTTTCTACCTCTCCCCCCAGTCTTCCTAATCTTCCAATTAATAGGAACAGCTTACAAATCCAATTGCAAAAACATTGAACTCATTTAAAAACGGAGTAATTGTATTTTTTCCTGTTTTAAAAATTTTGTTTCAGTATGCTTAGGTATTCGTATGTGTCAGATAGTCTTTTGTTTAGTTGATAGTAGCTTATTTTATGTGCTAAGTACTAATATTAATGTCAGTTTTCATTTAAACCTTAGAAGAGACTTAGGAACTTTTTTTATGCCTTTGTACTCCCTCCCCCAATTAAAAAATTAAGATGTAGAAGTTACAAGTCTGCCTGGCAAGTGGGAGGTCCTGAGGTAAATTCACAGCTCCCCCACCCCTGCATAGTAGTCCTAAGTTGCCCAACTAGTTGGGAATTGAGTCGTGATCTGGCTGACTCCAAAGGTTGGGCTCTTTAACTATTATTGTAACACATAGTTGTATTATTGTACATTGGAAGATACTTTCCAAGTTCTAAATACAACACCTAGGTTACTTTTGGCATGTATGTCAATTATAAATTCTGAATTGTTCTCTGATTATAATAGGCATGTAAGTGTAAGACGCTGATACTGCTACCTGGATTTTTTCTCTTTGCATTTAGTTACATGTGATGTGTTCCTTCTTTCTCCCTTTCCTCCCTTTTTTTGGGCCTCAAAAGTGCCACAGCTATTCATGCCATGTAGCAGGATTGTACTTGGCAGGCCCTTGTGTACTCCCATGTGGATTGAACATGCTATAGATGTTTGTTACTTGGACTTTATGAATGTCATTTTTTTCTGTTCCCTATCCCAACAGACCTATGTGATCGTTTTAGTTGTGTTTGATATAGATAGTACTAGAAAATGGCATTCAGGTTTTTGGCTCCATTGTTGTATTTGGGAATTCATAAGGAGAGGTAAGGTTGTTTTTAGACTCCTTTGACACACTAGAAACTGCTCTCCTTTTCTTTCTGTACAAAAGCCTGCTGTTTATATGCTCACGTATTGTTTTAAATAATTAATTGCTCCTAATTTCACCATTATTATACTTCATTTTGCTGACTGAGATGCATCCTCTTACATAGTAGAAAATATTTGCAGCATTTTCCTACATGCATGTTTATTTCTCGCTCCATCCCTTCCTTTATATGGTGGGTATTGGTTTTTTGTCTGGAGTATTAAACATTAGCTTCCACCAGGGTGTTGATGTCTTTGATCCCTGAGCATTCAGTTTTGAGCTGTGAGAACATCTCCAAGTTCAGAGTACCTATCTGTTTTGATTAGTTTTTAGTGCCTCAGAGCTGTGTCCACAGCTACCTAAATTTGGGATTATCCAGGTCTACACACTGTATTGTGTATGCCATGCCTGAGGTTTTTTGGTAAGCGGCAGTATTAAAGAATGGCAAAATAAGGTATTTACTCAAATTCCTAGGAAGAGGCATTGTACTTGACAGTTTTGAGATGGGAGCAGTTAATTTGTGTTTGACTGATACTAATGATTGTGTGAGCAAAGGATAATGACATTCAACACCCCTTCCCCCCTTTTTTGTCTTCAGGATTAAGATACTTGCTAAACAGTGGACTCAGAGACCATTAAAAACAAACTCTACTTGAACACCATTTTACTGGTTCACCAGGTAATTAATTCGGTTTAACTTTGACTTGATCCCTTGTACTTTCTTGACTTCAACATTCTGAAAACATTGCCCGCTTCTTTATGATTTTATTTAAACTTGTTTCGTACTTGATGTTGATGTTTTTCTCTTCAGTTAATGTAAGTTGAGGCAAGGTCTGAATTTGCATATGTAGGTAGATTCATTAATATTTGGGGTGAAGTGAGGAAATCTCCCATGTGTGGATATTTGAAGGGCATTTAGTTGAAACGTGAATCAGTGTGAGCCAATTGTTTACTCTTTGACCTGTGAAGACTAATTTCCCCATATTCTGCTGGCAAATGACACTTCACCTGACCCCTTTCATACCTTTTAATATTGCATCAGAATAGGAAGATTAAGATCGAAAATACTGTCTGATAGCTGTGACACCGATTTTGCTTTGCCTAGCTAGTTAAATTTCTTTTTAGTCTGGAAGTCTGTGTCCTGTTTGAATTCCATCCCCTTTTGATGATGCATTAGGTAAATAGGCATTATCTGGTTTGCAATTTTCCTGTCTTTTTGTTTTTGGTCCATTTTATGTTTCTAATTTTAACTTCCTCAAGGCCAAGACCCCATAATTTTGTGAATGTATTTGTCCATGTCTCTTTACTGCTTGCTTATCTGTTCTGCCCACTTGTCATTTTTCTAGAAGACTTTCTTAAATATATCTTTACCCCTGGCTTACAAAACAAAGGGAAGCAGAACAGTTTGAAGCCTGGAGTTGAAGCTCAGTGGTGGAGTGCATGTTGAGTGTGCACTAGGACCCATTTTTGATCCCAGCACAGCATGGGGGAGTGGGGGTTGTGGAGGTAAGCTACAAAGTCCTTTCTCTGAAATTTGAAGTGGTTCTTTATTTAGGAATCTGTCTAGGCCTTTAACCTTAGCTTTTGTATTTTCCCTTCAAAATTCCTTTTGTTTTTTTGGTCCTTTTTTGAGACAGGTCTAGCTATGCAGTTCAGGCTGGTATTGAGCTTATTTTGTAGCCCAGGCTAGTCTCAAACTCAGAAGGATCTTCCTGCCTCAGCCTCCTGAGTGCTGGGATTACAGGCATGCACCACCACACCTAGCTGCTAATCCTAGTTTTTTTGAGAAATTTCCACACTGATTTCCATAGTGGTTCTACCAGTCTACATTCCCACCAACAGTGGGGAAGGGTTCCATTTTCCCCATAGCCCCTCCAGAGTTTGTTATTGGTTGTTTTCTTGACTATAGCCATTCTTTCTGGGGGTGAGATGGAATCTCAGTCTTGTTTAAATTTAAATTTAATGACCAGTGATGTTGAACATTTTTGCAATGTGTTTTTCTTCATCTGAGAAGTGTGTATTCATGTAATTAAGGACCAAAATGTCCAATAGATACTGTGAAATGGGAAGAAATTGTTCAAAAGGAAAGAAGAGTTAGGGCACGAGAAGGGGGAAGGGAAGGAAGGCAAAAGGGAAAAAAACAATTAAAAAAGAGGGTACAATGGAAACAAGTTTGTAAATAGGGAGGGCAAGATGGGATGAAGAGAGGAATAGGGATTGGGAAAATTAGAGAAATCAAAATACCTCATGTAGAGGTACAAATTCCCTATGATGACTGGCCATTATGTATATTTAAAATGTACCGATAAAACTTAATTGTACTAAAAAGAACAGTTAATGTGTTACATACGTGTCAACTTTCCGTAGGAATGTAATCATTATGTACTAGAAACATGAACAAATACAGTAAAATGACTAAAGCAAAAAAAGGGGGGGTAATTATGTAACTTGTACATTTCAGAATTTCATATATGGACATTGACATAAACCTGTTGTTCATATTCCTATCTTACCTGATAGGTCTCTTACAGAGTGTCACGTACTTCCTGTATGGAATTCATTCTGAGACCAGGCACTATATTAAACTACTGTTTCTGTTTTTTTTTTTTTTTTTTTTTTTTTTGTCTTTTTGATACAGGGAATCAAACTCAGGACCTTCTGCTTGCTAGGCAGGCGCTTGTGCTGCTGAGCTATATCCGTGACTTTTTTTGGTCTTTTTGAAGCAGGTTCCCGCTGTACAGTTCAGGCTGGCCTTGAGCTCATTTTGTAGGCCAGGCTGGCCTGGAACTTACAGCTATCCTCCTGCCTCAGTCTCCTGGAACTTACAGCTATCCTCCTTCCTCAGTCTCCTATATGCTGGCCTTATAGGTTTGTGCCACCATTCCTGGATTCATGAAAGTTTCTTTCAAAATGGTCTTTTTGAGACAGGGTCTCGATATGTAGTTTAGGCTGGCCTTGAGCTCACTTTGTAGCCCAGGCTGGTGTTGAACTTCAACGATCCTCCTGCCTCAGCCTCCCTGAGTGCTGAGATTACAGGCGAGCTCTGAGATTACAGGGATACTCCACTTCGCCTGGCCCTCATGAAAGCTTTTTAGGCCACTTTTTGTCTCAGTTTAGTTAAAGTCAGAACACTATATAATTGGATGAAGGACTGAAAACCTTGCCAAGGCCAGCATAATTGTCATGTGAATTTATGACACATTTAACTAAAAATCTAGTACAGTATAGTCTTGGTATAAAAAGGTATTACTAAAATTGACATTCTTTTAAGTTGTACAAACTGTGTTTATGCATGCCTTTCTGTTTAATTTGAAATTGAATTACTGAAAGTTCAAAGGTAGCTCTTTGGACTATAAGGCCTGCTTTTATGCTTGCTAATTTAGATATGAACCATATTCATGGAGATCTATTTCTAATTAATTAATTAATTAATTAATGGTCGTACAGTTCAGGCTGGCCCTGAGTTCACTTTGTAGTGCAGGCTGTCCTTGAACTTGCAAGGTTCCTCTTGAATGCTGGGATTACAGGCTGCCAGCTCTGGCAGCTGTATTTTGAATGTACAATTTAGGCTTATTAATTAAGGAGCTTTCTGCGAGTCATTGCAAGGGACCAGTGAACCTAAAATGCTACTAACAGGATATCACAAAACTAGAACTGTAAAAATCATTGGAAATGACAAATATTCTTGACTGTGAAGCTGGTATAAATGGAGCCATTGCTCAGTCTACCTCTGCAGTAAATGCCTTGGAGGATAGAAAGACATGTACAGTATGTAGTAAAGGAGCTTACTAGCCAGGAGTATAAGACAAAAATTAAACACATAAAACAGTCACAGAGCCAAGAGTAACACTAATTCATTGTTCAGTTGTTCGCTGTGGTTTGGAAGTGTTTATGAAACCTTTAGTATATATGTGCACTCACTTGGTATGAGACATTTCTTTTTTTTTTTGGTTTTTCTCCGGTACCAGGAACCGAACTCACGACCTTGCTCTTGCCAGGCAGGCGCTTTGCCGCTGAGCTAAATCCCCAGCCCCAGTATGAGACATTTCTACATAGCAAAAAGTTTATCACTGTGAGTTCAAGACCAACCTGGGCTCCATAGTGAGACCCTGTCTCAATTTAAAAAAAAAAATCTTATAAAGCAACTCTATGTTATAAATAAAAAAAATGCAAGAAGTACTTTTGGTCTGTGTGTGCAGGAAAATAGACATGTCAATTTTGTCAGTAACTTGCTCAGATATAACAAGATCTGAAATTTAAAGCCATAAATAAATAAGAGTTTTGTAGCATGAAAACTAAAGAAGTAGTAGCTTCACCTTGTCATTGGTTTCTCAGTGTTTATCAGTTCATACATTGTTTAGAAGATTCCAGTTCTTGCCAGCTTTAAGTTTCTGTGGCCAGCAGATCTAGTTCTTCATTACAGAAGAGCTTTTTAGGGGTACCTGCTAATCAGTTTCCTCTCTCTTTGATTATAATTGCATGTCAGCTAGTGAGGCTAAGTGATGAAAGTCTTGATACGATGAAATTCTTCAGGAATTTTTCAAAAAGGGGAGTATTTATCAGAATGGGTCATGTTGATGATGACCTGCTTATATCTAATTTATGTTTATTTAGGCTGATGGGAATGAAGTTTTATTTAGTAGGTGTGTTTAGAAAAGAGAAACTTCAGTTAGGCCACTGCTGATTCACTGATATTAGAGTAGCTGAAAATGATATAGTTATATTGAGATTCCATGAGAAAAATAATAAAATATTTGATGTCCTGACTTTAAGTTGTTATTTATTTAAAACACTAATTTCTTGGCATTGGTTAAGAACTTGATCTTCAGATTAAAATGACTTGGATTCAATATTTAGCTTCTCATCTTGCTAGCTGTATGTTTTTTGGATTTCTCAAGTGAAATGGTATCATGTAGAACTCTTCTTGTAGCCCACTATTCTGCATATAGTAGGATTTGTAGTGTGAATTAATGGGAGTAATCAGTGGGATGCATTTCTCCTCATATGTAATCCAAATGTCAGACTGTTTATTTTTTGTATTTTAAAACATTAATTTATGCATATATGCAATAAAATTATTTGGGGGGCCTTTTTGAGACAAGGATGTTTTGAGATAGGGTCTTACTATGTAGTGCAGACTGGCGTTGAACTCATTTATGTAGCTCTCGCTGGCTGAGATCCTCCTGCCTCAGCCCCTAGAGTGCTGGGATTACAAGTATGTGCCACTATGGCTGACTCCTTTATGCATTTGTGCAATAAATCCTTTCATTGGCCCCTAGTTGCCATAGGAGACCTCTAACTCCTCAACTTTGTGCCACTACAGTCTTGGTCTTTTCAGAATTTATTATTAAATACTATTCTATTTATGTGGCTATCACACCTTCTGTAATTGCCACATCATTCTTGGATATTATGTTTTCTTTTTTCTATTTCAATTTTGGAAGTCTGTAATGATACATCTTCAAGCTCACTGCTTTCCCTCTCCCCACTTTAGTTATTCCAGTTTCCTATTGTACCCATCAAAGGCACATTTCATTTCTGTTATGCTCTATTACACTTCTAACATTTCCTTTTGATTCTTTATTAATTTCCACTTCTAAATACCTGTCTTTTCTTGTGTGTTGTGCACTTTCCCCCTAGAACCCTAAGTATATTAATCATAGTTTTAAAGGCTTTTTT